CTACCTCTACAGCCCATCACTCATAATAATCATACATTTGAACATTTATAACCTTCCCCGATTATATTTCCGGTTTTAAAAGTGCACAATCTGTTTTATAATCAGAGTGGTAAAAATCTTCCCTTTGTAGTCTTCAGCTGTTCTTTTATGGTTTCATATCTGCCCAGCAGTGTCTAGGAGTTATTATTATTCCTGTTTTGTCTATCCTTTTTTCAGCTTTGGATATTGGGTGTATTCCAAGCTTGGACTGTCAAACCCAGTGTGCTTCCAAGGTTGAAGGGTGAGCAGGCAAGCTGCTCGCCGCTCCACGCTCAATATCAGCACCACCTTTTTCTCTCTCCTAATGTGCCCTCAGTGATGACGAGTACAGAGCTGTTTGACCCCACACAAAAGAAGGTCTAGCTCCTTGAACCTTACAGGGCATCAAACGCCGACACTCGTGACCCCAGCTGCGTGGCCACCTGACTTCCCTGGAGTCCTGAAACAAAAACTCAACTGGTCCCTTCCTCCTCCACAGCTTCTTCCCCCCAAGGACACACATTTACGCATATGGTGTATCAACTTACATTCCAACCAGACTTTTCTGTCTGCATTTTCTCTGCATCTTCAGTCTTCACTGAGCTTTAGACAAACATATAGTAAAACACTTCTGTTAAATATCTGCTTTAATATTCTGAATAAAGACTTCTGAGATTAAACCCCTCTGTCCCATATCATTTCCATGTGTTTATCCTAAGCTGGCTCCGAAAGAGGCCACATAAATATTTCAAAATGCACTTCTGCTCATGTTGAGAGGTTATTATGGCCAGGCGCTGTGGAGAGGGCATACTTTAAAGCATAGCTGTTGTGGTTGTTAGAAGAAAATGGTTTAGCACTACTTACTGCTAAGCTAATTACTGGATGTTGACAATGTACTTCCTGGGGACTTGTTTAAAACTTGAATGGATCAGACTTGATAGTAAGCTGTGGTGCAGCATGTATTTAAGCCATTAAAGTCATTTGAAAAAAATTAAAATGAGGTTATATATTGGATGCTTGCTGTTACCGGAAAGACCTGCTTCTGGTGTCTTGTATTAGATACTTGATTGCATTGTTCAGTTAAGAACCTGTTTCTAGTTTGTAGTTGGCTGCACATGCTGCGCTTCTGCCTTTGAGATTTTGAAGTGACATTTTACTTTTTTCTGTGCTTTGTCATTTTCACAACAGTGGTATAATGTCAGTAAATTCAATTACATTCCTGTGGTTTACCATTATGGTGTTACTGTTTTGCTTTCGATTTTGAGAACCCAACAGAAGCCTGTTACACTCACAGCATTTTCATCCTAGATTTAATGCTGCTTTAGAATATGGCCTATATTTTCTCTACCTGGACTTTCTTCACTTCTCACTCATGGGGAGAGTATGGATTATGCTTTGCTTCCTATCTGTGCGTTATTTATGGAGCCAGAGCCAGATGACATTATCTTAGCTTATCATTGTCATTATATTGTGGGCAAAATGGCGATTGTTGTTTTGTTTGTATGCACAGTATGCTAGTGTTTTATGTTATATAACCCCACAGAAGCACAAGCTAGTGTAGTCAGTCCTGTATGGGACTACACATCACGGATTAACATGTGTGTGTGTACTTGCTTGCCTTTTCAACTAGAATGCATTCAGTAAACCTTGTGTGTGCTGTCCTGTCAGTGTATCCAGCATGTCTGGTGGGGGTTGCTGGGTGAGCGTGTGGACATTATGAAGATGGACGACGCTGTCACAGTGGGATGGTGTTTGTCGCAATGCAAGCATTTTCTTCTACTCTATTATCATTATCACGGCTGATGCTATTGTTACGATGGCCATTTCAGGAAGCGCTTGAGCCGCTGAGACCGAAAGGCAGAAAAGCTAAATGGAAAACAGAGACATTGGAATTCAAGAGGTGAATATGAGTTGTATAATATCCACATTTACAGACAATTGGGAGCATACAGTATGACTGCTGTGCCTTATGAAATTTTTATGGGTATATGTGTGGCCACAATATAAGAGCAAGCAGCTACAAAAGAAAGTGTTCCCAGGCTGATTTATTGTTCCTTAAGAACATTTGTATAGTTAATGGTCTGACACAAACTATGCTGCAAAACCAAGCATGAAGGAAAGTTAGGGCTCAGGGAATAATTTCAACTTTTATGAGCCTTGACACACTTCACAAACTGAGCACTGGCCATGAGCCATAATCAAAATTCAGCATCACAATACTGCAGAAACATAACATAACTAATTCAAATTACAAGCAAGTATTAGCGATGTCATCGCCACAATAGTCACAGTTCCAGCTTCACTCTGTCATTGACAGGCCACACATGTTAATGCACCCCCTCCAAATTCTCTTTCTCACATGGTTGTCGTCTAGGATGCAGGAGCAGGTGTGATAAATGCTGCCGTTTAAATCAAAGCACTCCCCTCTCCCCCCTCGCCCCCTCTGGGGAGCAGGAGGATGCCTCCATGCAGATTGATATCAGGAGGCCCTGCCATATCCTGCAAGGGCTGACTGATGGTCTGTCTGGATAAAAAATGAACTTTATTCCCTACATGCGAGCTATGATTCATGTAGCTCTCCTCCCCCTCCTCCCCCCAAACTATTCCACATATACCTTCAGTACACACTCTGGAAACAGTATAGTACATCATATAATGCTGCACCACCTGGCACACCCCAAAAATACAGTAAAGCAAGCAATATCAACCCATTATTGTTCCATTAAGGTGATGAGTAAAATAAAAAATCCCTTCCATGGTGCCTTTCTGTTGCATTCAGTAACACCAATTCTATCTACTATACATCTACACCTCATGTTATGTATTTGAAATCTTTCCCTGGAGTTCTGTTTGGCAGTGATTTTGTTCCACACAGAGCCGGAGATGTGTTTGACCACTGGTTCTGTTTGGTCCTTCTGCCCTTCCATACCATCATGAGTGACAGGCAGGCAGAAGCGCTGGGGTCACATTACTCATAGTTAGCATTCTGTTCGTGCCTCTTTCCTGCGCTCAAAACATGGTGAAGCATTGCACTTTCGTTTGAAATGGAAGTGGGTAGTGTGGGAGGTGGAGGTGCAAAATAGAACACAATCCTGCTTTACATTCTAATTAATATGCCATCTGAAAGCAAAACTATATGAACAGAGAAACATAATTGGTAATAAATTATCTTTACCATCTCACTTAAACCACTGAAGAAGATGAGTCAAGCCTAATGGCATCACATCTCATAGGAAACAAAATGTTTTGACACTGTCACAAATTTTCCATGGTCATTTAGGCCTTAATGTTGTCTGTTCGCAAAAACAAGTCGTTCCCCTGTGTGCCTGCTACAGCCACAACAGCACTGCCACTGAATCCTCCTCTTCGGGGAGGAGCTGCAGCGAATCATAAAAGCGTTTTTCCCGGAGAGGTGTCTATGTCGATGAAATAGTGTTTCCATAATTGCACCCTATAAAAGTGTCGAATGACTGACGTTTAAGGCTAATGAGAGAGTGGAGAAGGACAGCAAGGCGACATCCTATAATTATCACCTCAAATCTAAAATTCAAAGAAGAACTTTAAAAAAGGAAAACATCAGTATGATATATATGGTTTTTCTTTTATCTGTTTGACAGAGATGTTACAATGATAAGATGGTGGTAAAAACAGGGGTGAATATAGAAGCCAAACTTGGCTGCTAAATGACAGCCGCTGCTTCAAACTCAGTTGGTAGAGGAAGAAAAAAAAAATCTAGATTACATATTGACCATGAATGTTACTCTTATACTTTAATTAGTGTTTTTGCTCATCCTATCGAATAGTTTCACTTCCAGTCAGTGAACAGACGCTCTGGGGCAACAAATAACATAAAAACCTGCCACATTTAAAGGTGTTTTTCTGCTGGAACGGAGTGGCATCTTTAATAGCACATTCTGATACACAGCATGTCCAGCAGCTGACACAGCCAATCCCAAGGGGATGGTAAAAGGCCAGAATGTAATCCTTTAGATGAAACTGAAACCCTTTGAGGCTGAGGAAATACAACCCCAGCAGTATATGAAACTCACCCCATTTGTCATTGATCACACGGAATTAAAACTATAACAGAGATCTCTTAGCAATTGATTAAAGGTCATATGATGGCTAACAGAGATTGAATAACAATAAAAAAAGTCAATAGCGCAAATACTGGTCTATGGGTAACTTCATATGGGCACTGTAACAATGATTAAAGAGCTTTCATAGAAGTATGGTGGTGGGATTTGTCTCAAGTCAATTCATGAAATGAACAATGCTGTCATGTGAATTTATGTAATTGGTTGAAAACGAAATAAACAACCTTTCTGGCTTTACTAGGTGAAGAAGGACCAAGGACACAATAATGTCTATTGGATTCCAACAACTGCTTTAGTAAATAAATAAATAAAAAGGCCTTCTTGTGGCTTTATACAGGTACAATAAAGTAGCCCGTGTACTCATATTACCCGCGGCACTGGTATTGGAGGCAGGCTACTTTTCCGCGGCCCGCCCTGTATAACCCCACAACAGAGAAAGTTGGGACTGATTGGGACAGGAATCAAAAGTACAACTGAAATTAGTGATTTGTAAATCACGTGTCCCATATTACACAGAAAATAATACAGTAGCACATTACATGATATGATACCTCATCAATAAACGACAAGGTCCAAGCCTGAGCTGGATGACCGTGCTCTCCGATCCGACGGTGCATCAAGAATCGTCACTCTTCTATAAGCGATATAACCATTTTACATACCATTCCAACTTTTCTGATTTGGGGTTGTACATGTATGTAAGTGTGAATGATCTCTGCGGTAGATTCTGCCATGAAATAGTACATAATTTAATGCCGTGTAGCTTTTTGGAAAAAGTGTCCTTCAAATTGCAAATACTGTATCTAGTATGAGGTACTGCAGTGTTTTTCAACTGTTGCTGACTGTAACTGTAAAAACATATGAGGAGCTGACTGAGGTACTTACCCTAATGAGACCTCTGTTCCTGCAGTGTTCCTCTGAGTGACGTGATTGAACGGGCACAGCGTGTAAGTATACCTGCAGAAGGAAAAAGAAAACATAATGTACACAGTGAGGAAACGGTGGTTTTACTTTTCATGTATGGTTTTGTTTCCAGGTTTGGATAAAAAGCTAGAGGCTGACTGATGTGTTAGTATGAGGAATATTGGTGATCAGTGACTTTTAACTTGTCATAGATGTACAGCAGGAGTATAAATATCAGCTGAAGAGTACAGTTACACTGATTTGACTTCAGCTGTAAATATCCAGGTCAGTGATTATTTCGGTCAGAAGTTTTCAATAACAAAACTTACTGAAACCTTATCAAAAATGCTGTAATTCTTTCTTAATAAAGTTGCTCTTATCAATAGTTTTGTATTGACAATGGATCAAATGACTATATATAATGTGAAAGTGGTTATCCAACTCTGCGTCACCATATTTTTTTGCCTCTTTAGGTTCACTGTTTTGGTTTTGTGGCCCACAGCTTTATTGTGTTTTCTATTTGTCACCCCTCTCATGACTGTTTCCAGCTGAGGCAGGAAGATTTTTAGCTAAAAAGCTCTGGTAAAGTGACTTCAAGCTATTTACCCAGCACCAAAGAGCAGCCGGATAAAGTTTGCAAATAACTGGTGACCAAAAAACAACATTTAGCAAATAAAGAGCTGGATATTTTTCTCAGGAACTGGTGTAAATATTGGACTTGCATTTCCCAGTGGCTAGAAACATGACTCCAAATGAATGCTAATGTTGCTCTATGTTTGCCAGATGCGTAAACAGGAACTTGTTTGCCAATACATTAGCCCTACCAACTTTATAGGGTAATGATATGTCAATGTGGCGAAAAAAAACCTGTCAATGCAAATTTTAAAACCTAATTACTGTCATTTTTAGCACTAAAATATCAATATCAGCCTCAAAAGTCAGCCAGGCTCTACAAAAAACAAAATTTACATTGCAGACAAGCACAGTATAATGAAAGTCAAGTACACAACAAGGGACAATGAACACTGAGACTCAGTCTAGGCTCAGCAGCTGCCTACTGGGGCAGAAGATTGACAAGGAGCTACCAGTTACCCTGCCACCCCCAGCTCCTCCACCAAGGAAAAGAGGAGTGAATGAGCTAGCAATTAGCAGACCATCACTAATGTACAGTACTTCCTGGGGATAGTGCTAGAGAGCAGTGGTGCAATCATTAGTGCCAGTAACAAACTGATCAAAGATGGTGAAAGTGACTGGGGAAAAGGCAGTCAGGCTTTTTTCCTTGACATTTGATCCATTACATTGACTGTTATAAAAGAACAGAGGATACCTAGACAGCCACAATGACACAGGTGGAAAGAGAGAGTGCAGGGTGGAGGGGGTGGAAGAAATGGCTGCAGCCTAGGTAGATGTGGGCAGGAAAGTACGGATCAAAAGCTAAATAAGAGAAAAGCAAGATGAAAGAAATGAAAATGATGAACATCAGAGAAAGGAGGCTAGTGAGCGAGAGGGAAGTGATTGGCTGACGAGTTCTTTTGCTCTTGTGCTTGTTTGTGAACTGTATGAAATGCCTCTCATCCCTGAGACGTACATTTAGGCATTTATCCTTTCATGTCTACTGTAGGTTTCAATGGGGATGTCCATTCCTCGATCCACCAGATATGAAGACATGAAAAAAAAAATCATTTGACAACAGCAGTACGGCTTTGAGAAGAATTTAATGTTTCACCATGACTAAGCCTATTGAGAATCCACTGTCCCCCCCACAAGGAAGCTGACACTGTACAGCAGGGTTCCTCCTTTGCGGTTTTCTTACTTATTTGCATTCTAATACTTTACTCTCAAACTATATACTTCTCAGATATGCTAACGGTAATGCTGATCTGTTGGTCAGGACTGAAAGTTTTGACCAGGTGTTCATGGCTACCTGGGAATTCCTACTGATTTTAGTGAGTTCCTTTTTTTTTCTGTAGTGTTACCATTAGGTTGACTTTTTTAACCATCTACCTGATGGACTGGTGCAAAATGTACACATATTCATAACTGCCAAATGATACACCCTGATCATATAATAAATCCTCTGATCCAAGTTTTTTATTTTATTTCTCCAGCTCATAATCAAATATCTGCAACACTGACATGTTCATTAGCTTTAGCTGTACATTTTGTTTAGAGCTAACAAGCTAAAGTGAGCATGCTACAGGCTAAACAGAAATTACCTGCTAAACATAAGCACTCATTTTTTTCAGCTGATGTTGTGAAGTTCAGTGTCACAGAGATGCTGGCATGGCTGTAGACTTAGTTTTGTTCTTTCTTTCAGGATATAAGGAGAGCTAGGAACAGTCTTCACAGCTGACCTTGACCTCATCAATTGGGGCGCCTGTGGCTCAGAGGGTAGAGTGGGTCGTTCCCTAACTGTACGGTCAGTGGTCTACACGTCAACGTGTCCTCAGGCAAGACACTGAAAGCCAAGTTGCTCCTGGTGATATCACTGGTGTGTGAATGCTTGTGTGAGCAAATGGGTGAATGGGCAAACAGTGTTAAAACGCACTGAGTAAGCTTCAGTTTATATAAAAGCACAATACAAGTATAAGCCCATTTACCATTTCCCATCAAGGTCACTCAACATCCCCTCTGTTCCAGCATCACATGACTCTCATGTCTGAAGGGCATGAAAGACCTTACTGTACACAACTGCTGCAATATGTTTGAAAGAGAAGCTGGAACTCATCAGTGCTTTGGTACAAATGTACCTGTACAACAGTATCTTTGAGATACCCTTCAAATCACAACAAAATGCCAAGTAGCCTCCTATACTAAATAATAAATGAATCACAATTCCATCTGATGCTTTATTGTTCTTTATACAAGCCACTAGATTCATTATTAAGTTTGTAAATCAGGTGTTTGAGCAGCAAACAACCTCATGTGAGCCCAGAAACAGATGGGACTTGATAGACAGAGGCACACTGAGCAGACAAAAGGGGTAAGGAAAAGGGGTAACGCAGTGAAAGTCCCATATGGGACTACCCCTGTGTGTCTGCACCTCTCCTCCCTCTCCATCACCCTCTCTCTTACCCTCAAGGCAAAGCCATCCATCCCTGCCCACTTTTGCTGACATGCTAGCAATGCACAAAAAAAAAAAAGGCTAGGCTATTTGTGTGCAAGGGCACTGCGATCTGACCTTGGACGCTTGCCTCCGTGTGGCAGCTTGTGAGAAAACAAAAGCAGGAAACCAAACACAAAAAATGCGCTGCAGGATTTAAAAAAAATAAAATAAAACAAGTTCAGACTGATTACAAATGCCGAATCTAACATGCACAAGGAGGAGCGGGTTGATTGTGTCTGTGACAGACTCTTCACATTCTGCTGTCTTCGTTACATAAAGGAGACACAGCAAAAAGGTCGAAGTGGCACATTTACACAAACTGTCCCTAGCTATCCTCAGTGAATGAGCACAGTGTGACTGACAGTGACGGGAATATAAGGCTAACAAACAGCCAGTAGAACAAAGACAAAGACAGAGGAACGGGGACGACAGAAGGATAAAAAAGAAATAAGGTGCGCAAGATAGAGTAGGAGGGAATCAGAGTATGCTGGTGGTGACACTGCGCATATGAATCACCAACTGAACATGCAGCAAATATGACAGATGATGACGCGCAGCAAGGGGGGCACTGGGCGTAGGACATACAGGATAAAGAACGAGATGAGAAGATATAACTTGGTGGATCACTGATTAAACCTTCAACAATAATTAGAAGGCTATAATGAGCAGAAGATCAAAAATGACAACACTGATCCTCCCATTTGAGTCCTGAACGCCACACTGCGTCTCTTCCTCTCCCCCATGTTCAATCTGTTACCGTCTGACAATCCAACTCTGACACTAGCCATAATAAGTTGGTTCTACTGTGTCAATCTTTGTAGGTGTTTTGGGCCTGAAGGTACACAGTTTGACAATAAATATCTTAGATGCAACCACTTGGGCCCTCAGGCAGTGCTTCTTGTTCCACTGGATCGGACTGCAGGCTGGAGCAAAACTACTGTATGTCACATTCCCTCCCATGTGAGCTAATGAAGTAAATACGCAACATAAATCTCATTAGTCATCGTGTGTGCTCATACACAAATCACTATTAACATAAGATATTATGCACCGTTATCCTTCATTTTAAGAAATCTGTGTATGAAGAATAAAATTTTAAAAGAAATAACATATTTTAAACCACACTAGCAGATATGAAGCTGTTTAATAATGTATTTACTTGTACTTTAAACTCCTCCTGTCATGGAGCATAAAGAGGAAGTGTTTATAATGAACTATAATAAATATAATTAATAAGCATACATAAAAACATCATATTGATATTGTAATATATTGTTGTATATATGTGTTATATGTATCAACTATTTTCTACTGCTTCTTCTTGTGGTGCTCTACAGAAGGAGTTTTGGAGAAACTCATTAACAAACTTTACTGTCTGCTTATAACTGCACTGTAGTTTATTATTAAGACCACTTATGAAGTGTTTACATAGCTCTCATAAATGGCTCTTATTTTCATGGCTTTGGCTGTCGGTTACTGTACTCACAAAGTTAATAATGTCTAGGAGTTTCTTTAAAATCTGTTTGATTCTCTAAATGAGTGTGTTTTTCTTGTTGCAGACCTATTTTTAGCACCGTCTTTACCTTTACAGCTAATAATAATCACCAATACTATGAAAATACAATACATGTTGTTTTAAACCCGGAATTATCCTTTAACAATCAGTTGTTAATTGTAGATCTGACATACTCATCCACCTGGTACTCTGAGGGGCTATAACAGGGGAAAACAGGATAAGTATATCTATTCCTCAGCCCACTGAGATCAAGTCAAGAGAGGAAAAGGAGAGAGCGGTAATTAAACCCTTCTCCCACTAGACTGTTATGTGACAGCGTGGGAGGCGTTCACTCAGGGTGACAGTGCACACTGCAGCAACGTCAACATGGGCTAATTAGATTACAGGTTACACTGGCTGACACACCAGAGGTCAAATGTCGCTCAGCACACA